GGCAATGAAATGATATACGATGGAATGAATGTAAAACTAAAGTTCTCTCATGTAAACTATCATATAAATCACAATAAAACTTTTTTTAAAAGTGTATAGACATAGATGGAGAATATATTGAGAAACAATAGCTTCATATTTTGATTTTTTGTTAAAAGTTTCTATGACTTTGTATCAATACTTTTTGACTTACCCTCATATATCATTATTTATAAAGCACTTTCACAAAGTAACTGCTGAACTCTCTAACCAACATCAAAATTATCAGGTATCATTTCATTTCAACTATTTCTATTAGAAGTATCCTCAAGAAAAAATTAACACTTACGTGCTGATGTGAAGGTCCCAAATCTCCACTCTGGTCTCATTGGCAGCTGCAAATATATAGGATGATTTTGGAGACCAGACAACATCATAAACAACATAAGTAGTTGGATAAAATGTCAAAAATGGCTTGGAATTGTCCTGTTGCCATAGAATAACACCCCAATCTGCAGAGCAGCTTAAGAATACATCGTTACAAAATGGATTCCATGCAATTTTATACACTGGACCCTATAATTAGAAAAACCAATTAAGATATATAGGTAAACAATATTTAGCATCTTATATTTGAAACTTTCATAAAAGATTTACACACCACCTATTACTATAGGGGTATTATCGATTTAATCCTCTTTAAATTGTTCTATACAGAAACATGAAAATATAATTGCTACAATACTTACTAAGTACTAATGCACATTATTCTACTTACCTTTGAAAGATAGTAATTACTATTTAGAGAAATAAAGAGATATGAGGGAGAAAATGAAGAAAATACAGATGGAACAATCATAAAAATATAGAGAATAGTTATTTACTAGAAACAATTTATGATGGGATCAGCATATTCTCAAAAATAAAGTTTTTAAAAAACAAATTTAAAAAATCAAAGATACCTAGAAGTAAAAAAAAAAAACCTCACACATTATTGGTGACTTCCATATAAGTAAACACTTAATTTGCATTGACACTTTTAAGTACGGTGTTGCAAATTTATTGGATGTTAAATGCAGTGAGTAGTGATATTTTTTGCAAAAATATTATAAGATAAATTCATTCTGACATATTTACTATAATTAAACTCACCTTATGTCCTCTATAAGTATCTAGGTATTGTTCATTATATGAACAAGAACATTTGTGAATATGACCTTCTTCAGTACCAGCCAAATAGATATTTGAGTCCTGTAACATAAAAATCAAGCTGCATTGGCCTGTGACACATTAATGAATGTACTAAATAAATGATTAGGCTATTTTGGGTCTTAAATACTATCTTGAAGTTGTTGTTAGTTGCCATTGAGTCACCCCCAGCATACACTGACCTTATGCAAAAATGGCATAGAAGCATGGTGTCTGACCTTCTCTGGTTTCAGAAGGGGGAAGGAGAAGAATCACCAGACCAAAGTCAATTCCTGTAAGTCAGAGACCAGACATGTCTCCCCTCCAACCACCTTCATCCTATTCTGACACCATCCTATTCTGACACCAATCTATATTCTGACATCCTATTCTGACACCCTCTCACAGCACTCTTATTCTCTGCTGGGTTTGAAATCAATGCAATGGGTACACCGAACTCACACACAATACTGGTAACTATGGGGTTTATTAGGGAAGTCAACAGGGTACAATTCAGGATCAGAAACAACTCAGGAGATACCACTTGTCTGCTCAGGAGTGCTTCTTCTCAGCCATATCACAGGTATACCTCTCTTTGGTCTTCTCTGTCTTGTCCTTGGCCTCTCAGCCATGTGACCCATTGGCTTCTGCGGAGCTATGGCAAGCATTACAAAGTTGCTGGTAAATGTCCAAAGGGCATTCTCAGCGATACTGGCTCCATGGACCAGCAAGCTGCCACTTTGTCTCTGCTTTTGCTGCTACCTCTACAGCTGTCCCTTTTCTGACCAGGGATCTTGTGGTCCACAGGACGTGTTCTATTTGTGGCTCTTCCTTCTTGATAGTCATGAGACTTCCCTCTCTTGCTTCTGAGGTAGCTCATTTTAGACCTAGTGTGATGGCAAAACTGTCTAAGCCCCATGTTAGAGCTCCAAACACCCTATTTGCCTAGTCCCATCGAATTATTTGGTGAACTTTACAAAGACTATGTAAAGAAGAGCCACACCAAGTAAATTAACTGTACTACACATTAGGTACAACAGAAAGAAACACTTCCAGGCCCTGTGCCACAAATCTTTGGTATGTTTGAGTCCATGAATATTATTGTATGGTGGGGAGGGGGGTTTCTATCACAATGTTACAATAATTAAACTACCTGAAGAACTACTGTGCAAAAAAGGATATAAATGTGTTCTTTGTTGGAGTACAGAGTATCACTTACTATCCTATCTAAAAATGGCATGGAGAAGTTTTAGCTTAAGATAAGAAACTATTTTCTAACATTTACAGCTGCCTGACAGTGAAGTTGGCAGTCCAGAGAAATATAAATGTTGTTTCCTTACAACTAGTCAAATATAGATAAATTAACAATAACTGTGTAAGTCTGTAAGTAAGAGAGACAAAGTTTGGCCATCCTGGCCTCCAACGAGCACTCTGGCTGCACTTCTTACAACACAGATCTGTTGGTTCTTTTGGACGCCCATGGCACTTGCAACATTCTCCTCCAACACCATAACTCAAAAGCATAAATTCTTCTAC